GGGGGGGGGGGGGGGGCATCTGCTGATCATAAGAGTCTTCATTAGCTTTTAGCAGCATGCAAATCACACACATGATAAAACAAGCTGATGTGTTGGGGTGATCAGCTGTTAAGTGTACAGTCCTAGGGACATTAACGCACCACCAATAAGTTAAAACATTTTGGGCGCTATTGCACCAGCCTGATGGAAAATTAAAGGACATTCCAGTCCTGCGTGCTCACAAACTACTTCCGAGATCCAGATGTGGAGCATGGACATACACCCAGATACAGCATTCATTTTTGTCTAAAGGCAAGCACTGAAAGCTACAGATCCATGACGGAAGCAACCCAACCCAAATGCAGACTGCTTAAGATGCTGAATGGTGATATATTCTAGCGTTTGCTTGCATCTGCTTGGCTACAGTCAATATGAAAAGAAGAGGCAAAGGAAGTAAGCAGGCGAGATGATAATCACAGACGAGAAGAATTCAGAAGTTAAGAGAAACACAGGTTAAAGAGAAGTCAGCTCAGGGTCACTTCAGATCTTTTAGTGGTTTTATACCTGCTAGATCTGGATTACAGCAGACATGGCTGACTTCACAGATTAAAGATAGGCATTTCTGCTTACTAACAAGATAGGAGTTTGCACAAGACTTGTGAAGCAGACAAGGATTGGGTTCAAAGGTTCTTTTCTAAGGAGAGACAATAGGTTGTATTCGAAGGGAAACTATCCAACTGGAGGAAGGTTACTAGTGGAGTTCCTCATGAGTTAGGATTGAGACTGATCTTCTTTTCATATTTTCGATTTTTTTGTGCCAAAGTCACGAAAAGAGGATGCTGAGCAAATCTTACAATGGCACAGAGCTGGGAGGTATCATCAAAATGGAGAAGGATCAGAATATCACGCAGGGAGGCCTGGATGACCTTGAGAACTAGAGTAATGGAAACGGGATGAAGTTTAATATTACAAGAGTGTATGCACCTAGGGATTAATGGTGCTCATGAATTCAAAACGGCAAAAGAGAACGATGAGCTACAAGCAAGATGCAGCCATGCAAAAAGCAAATCCAATCCGGGATGTACCTAACAAGGCATTTCCAGTTGCAACAAGGAAATGCTAGCACCATTTTCCAAGGTCCAGATGGGACTTCACCTGGAGCACCCTGCTCAAGTGTGTTCCAAAAAGAGAAATACAAGACTGGAACAGGTTCAAAAACAGGCTGTTATGACGACCAAGGAACAAAGAGCCGGTCTTACAAGAAGGAGACTAAAAGAACATAGTTTGCTTAGTCCAGCAAAAAAAAGATGGAGGCTGGGAAGAGAAAGAATTGCTGGCTATAAATACAATCAGGGAAGTAAACAGTAGCTAAAAGCACAATGTTGGCACAAAAACAAATGCATATGAAGTGGCCTTGAATATATTTAGGTTGGAAATTAGAAGGTTTCTAAACACCAGGGGAGTGTAGGTCTGAGAGCCTTCCAGTAGGAGTCATGAGAGAAAAGGAAAAAGAAATAAAAATGGAGTTGGACCAGTTTATTAAAGCAATATGATATGGCTGCCTGTGAGCAGGGACTGGACTTAACCCCATCCAGTGCTTCAACAATCCTTGTGTTGGGAGAGGGGCCAGGGAGGCTCCCTGCCTCTTCCTCCACCCTCTGGTTGAGGACACCAAAGGAAGGTCAGTAGCAGAAGAAGCTGCTGCGAGGTGGGCGATACCTCTGCTTTGAAGGAAACATCCCTTCCTGTCCCTTTCTAACTGGGCAATAGCCCATTTCTTAGGGGAAAACATTAAGATTTGTTCCAGATGAATGGGCAAAGCCATGAAGTTGGAGGGAGACAGAGGCGGGCATGAAAGGAGACCCTGTCCAAAGCCTTTACTGATGTACCTTGACAATGAGGGCAAGATGCTTGGAAGCAATACACAGCACAATGGAGAGGCCATGATGGGACTCCAATGAGTTTGGCGACCTGGACAAACCCCAGGTTGGAATACCAACTCTGAGGCAAATGTTTCAGATGGAGAGAGGCAAACGAGGGCTGGATGGAGGTGGACACTGCCCTACGAGACAGGTATTGCCAATAATGAAGTCCAGACCTTCATCATGAGGGGAGAAGCCACAGAATATGACTATGTAATGATATGCTGGCAAAGAGGCAAGAGGAATCAAAGTGGGCCCCAAGGCTGCAGACATGAGGGATAGGAAATGATAATGGTCTTCAGCTTTAGGAGAGAAGGCAGCCTTGGGAGGGAAGGTCAAGAGATCAGTTCTGGGCCAGGGCAGTTGAGAGGATGGTGAACCATCCAACAGGAGAAGCAGTAAGACACAAGATGGAAAAGAGTAAGATATATAGCAAAGGACCAGAGACTACTGATGTCACTTTGATTGCAACTTCCCTACCTTTCTCCATAAAATGGAGTGACCACTGCAATATTGAGAGGTGCAGAAGGATTGGATTTCCCTAAGCCAAGGACTCCAGTGGATGGAGATCTAGATTAACACACACTCACATTTGCAGCACTTCCGACAAATGAACAGGTAAGCCGTCTGTTCAGCAAATGGGAATAAATAAGGTCCACATCCGAAGAAGGGACCACGCCACACCAGCCCCACTGGCTTCAGTAGATTGTGGAAGTGCTGATGCTTCGTGAAAATGAACTCTCTGAAGGAAAGACACAGACAGACAAAGCAACCCAAGGGTGAATTACAGGGTAGAGAGATGAGGCCAAACCCTCAACTGGTATGAACTGGCACAGTGCCAGAGTTGCATGGTGACTTTTGGCCATTTCTTTTAAATTCAAAGTAAAGGAGAGGACAGGTAGGAAGCAGGAGGGGACAGAAAGGCCAGGAATGCATGACAGAAGCAGGGGAAGGTGACCGAGTCTGGAGGGCCCAGAGAAGGACAGAGGAAGGGTGCAGGACCTACAGGACATGCCCTGTTGCTACCTTTGAAGGTATGTCTTCACCATAATGGCATCGTGTCTCTGGCAGGGGCATTCCTGAGCACGTCATATGGCCCAACCTGAAAGTGTGGCATTGATGCTGCTCTGGAGACATCCCATCAGGACCACTTTTGGATGCATTTCCAGATGTGGCGTATGGAGAGTGCCCCAGCTGGTGATGCAGACAAGATATTCCCATGGAAGACAAGCCGTCTCTCAACGGCTGCTTATCCCCTCTGTACGCGAGAGCCAAGCCAAGTGCAGCTTAAGGGGGGAAAAAAAGATTATGCATGCAAGATCCAGAAGCAGTTCTGAGTCTACAGCTGGACAAAGGACCCAGGAGCATCTGTGCCCAGATGCTATGGCAACAGGGTCAGAAAAAGACCCGAGATAAAATGAGATCCAGGGCTGTGTCCTGGTGCTTGGAGGGGAAGAACCACCCCAGGGACTGATTTTAAATGCTCAGGAGAAGGGGGGCAACTCACTCGTTCAGAAACCACCCAACAAATTTACCCCACACATGCCTGAAAGGAAGCTGCCTGGGTCTTGTTAAGAGTCCAGCTCTGTTTAAAATGGATGCTTTGCCTTCCTTCCTCTACCTCCCCACATTAAGAGCCTTCTCTGGGATTGCCCATTATATTTCCTCCGACCGAGGTACAGAGCTCTCTGACCAGACCCTGCACAGCTTGTGCGGGCCCTTCATTTTTTGGAGCTCGGCCAGCTGCCCCAGCCTTTAATTGGAAAGGGGCTAATGCAAATCCTGCTCATCAGGGAACTGCTGCAATTTGATGTCATGCTGCCAAAGCAACGGGAGGGAGCAAGACGGAGACTGCCGAGTCAGCAGAGCTGGCTGCTTGTCACTGCCCGAACCTCCCAGCCGCAAGCGATTAGAAGAAAACCCGCTGAAAGAACAAAGGTCTCGCTGGAACAACATTCCTGTCCGATTCACAGCAGGCCCTAGATGGAAACAGAGCAGGAAACTCCAGGGAAAACACTGTTTAATCAGACACCCAGGCTTGTCTTATTAAACCCCCATCATTTCTATCATGGGTATGTGCCAACGAGCCCGTTTCCAACTTTGTGCTCCATGCTTGTGCCCTTCTGCCACCCAGATTTCTTCTGCCTCCTGGACCAGCCTCGATTTGTCAACTGACCCACAAGGGAAGTCAGACATGGCTGGCATTCCTCCTCGAACAGAAAAGGTGGGCACAAGCATTTCAAGACACCCTTAGGCCTGTGGTTCACAGCAAAAGGAGAGAGGATCACAGCAGAAAGGAAGCAGCCCATGACTGATGCTCTTTCAACCCAAACAGAAGTGAAAGAGAGAGACCGTAGAGGCCAAAGACTGCTTTTTAACCACAGAATTACTCATTCAACAACATGGAAAGACAGCAAGCGACTAAACAGAATAAGTTTCTACCCAGGAGAACGCTTACAATCTTTTCTCCTATGCCTGAAGGAGGGTGTTGGTGCCCAAAAGCTTGCAATAAAAATAAATATTTTTCTGGCAAAAATCTAGTTGGTCTAATAAAAGATAATCATCTCTACCATGAGTCTGGATTCCTTCCTCCTGCTACTAAGCAGAGCAAGTCAACTTCGCTTCACAGTGCAAATCTAATGGACACACAATGAACAGCCTTACCCTGGTGAAAGTCACTCTGCTCTGGGATGAAATGCCCCTCAAAAGCAAGGAGTCACTGTATACTAATAAAAGTTACCCCGGTTTACTGGTTGTGTGTCCACTCTGCCAGTCACTTTCATCCTGGGGTAGACACTGGTGCAATGCAAACAAGCTGCCCTGCCTCGAGTGGCCAGGACTGCAAGAGCCCCTATAGCTTACTCAGAGCTGGTTATAATGTCTTACTACAGAGTAAAATCCAGGATACATAACCACGTTGTGTCTCCATACCCCTAGGTATCTCCATTGTTCCTTCCCCATGTCTGGTTGTTTGGCCCCTCCACCTGCAATGCCTGCTCTTGGGACTATACTCTGCTTGAAGCATTCATTATATCTCTGCATTCAGCCTGGCACAACACGGCTCCAAACAGATGAAGGTCTCTACCACCATATAAGTAAAAATGGGGAGCAGTCTCTACAGTTATGTCTGCCCAACACTTCCTATTTGAAGACCAGGTTTTCAATTGCTTACACCTTCTGGCAAGCTTTGACCTACAGGGGCTGAAATTTTCCATGCCAGGAGTCTGCCTCAGGCAAAGTGTTCTAGGAAAATTCCAAACAGATGATTCAGCCATTTCTCAAAATGATCTTGAGAAAAAACAATGGCCTTCCCCCTCCCTTACTTGCTAGGCAAGAAACACTGGTGGAGGGAACAGGGCTGGGGGTGCTGCTTCTCAGTGGCCCTGGGCAGGCCCACATTGATACAGCCAGAGCTTGCGCACAACAAAGGGGACCTGCCGGATATGATGAGCAAAGGGACTGCAAAGATCACCCTTCACTTGAGGGCCATGGATCCAGGGAGAAATATAGATGGCAAAACTCCCTGCACCAGGGCCAGATGAAGTACTGGGGAACAGCAGCAGCCCCAGCTTGGAGGCAGGCTGAGCTGGGACACTGTCCAGATGCAGTCTATAGTCACAAGCAAGCTGAACTGCTGATCAGGAGAAGTGAATAGGCTGTGTTTGGCCGTGAGCCTGACTGGGGAAGACCTGCCAACTCTAGTCTGGGACAATGTAGATGGGCGTCACCTTAACCTTCCTGGGTCCGGCAGAACAGAGCCCTAAAAAAGCCCTAAATACAATGTATTAGCCCACAAAAAACCTACATAAAAACAAAGTTATAGAGTCTTAGAGAAGTAGGGCTGGAAGGGATGTCCAAAGGTCATCTAGCCCAACCCCCTGCCTGACACAGGATTATCACTATCCACACCATCCCATACAACCATCATCTAAACTCTACATAACCCTGACAACACAGACCTAACACCCTAACCAGTCACAGGTAAAGCAGGGGAACCACGGCACCCAATGTCCCGCTTCCATAAACATGGTCAATATATACTCAAGAAGCCCCGGGTAAAAGGCCATGCCCCCCTGCTACACAGAAAGACAAAAAACCCCCAGTGTGCATACCAATCTGACCATGGGGTAAATTCCCTTCCTGAACCCAAACATGGGGGGGTGAGATTGGCCTGACAAAGCGGAGGGGCACGACCCTCTTGCCAGGAACCTCTGGCTTTGCTCCTAGCAGGAGAACCAGCACACCCCAGTTAAAGTCCCTAACCTTGGCTGTTGCCAACACCCAATGCCCCTGGCGGGGGGCTTAAAAACACCCCAACACATGTAACAGAAAAGAAAGGGGGGGAGCAGGAGCAACCTGCAAAGCCCACAAGCATGGAAAATGCCCGTTTTCTACCAGGGTATAGATACACCCAGATCATCCCTGAACAACAGCTGTCTAACCTCTCCTTGAACACCTCCAATGATGGAGAGTCCACAACTTCCCTAGGCGTCTATTCCACTGCCTTGCTGCTCTCAGTGAAGGAGCTTTTCCAAGTATGCAATCTAAACTTACTCTGCTGCAACTTCAAGCCATTCGTCCACATCCTTCCTTCTATAGAAGAAGAGAGACAAGGTGCTTTCCCCTCTTCTTTAGGTCAGCCCTTCAAGTATTTGAAGTCTGCTGTCACATCCCCCCCATAAGTGCCTTTTCAGGTAGAGTAAAAAGGCTCATAAGTTAGGAGTCACCATATCTGCATAATGATGCAGCCTCTATTTATATAAATCACATATTAGTTCGCCATCAAGGACTGAACAGGGTCTCCTGAGCCTTTGAGTCCAGTCTCCTGCATTCACAGGCAACCATTTTAATCAGACACCCAGATCTGTCTTAAACCACAGTCATTTCTATTACATGTAGAACCTACTACATGACAATAATGACCAACAGGCCTCATTTCTAACTGTTTCACACTCGTCACTTGCTACTATCCAGATTTTACCATAAGGATTACCTGAAATCACCAATCAAGTCTTCACGTGCAGCTACAAAACAGAGCCAGAAACAGCAAAGACATCCCGTAACAGGCCATAAGAGCAGGTAAGCAGGCCAGTGTCCTGTCACTGCAATGACAGGGAAGAAGCTGGTTAATATATACTGAAGATCTTAAGAGGACCATGGCCTCTTATACAGAGGAAGGGAATTCACACCCTCCCCCCTCCCAAATCCCTGCTAATCTGGCCTAGGAGGATCAGGAAGGAATTTTTCTATATTTGCCCCCAACTCATTCAGTGCACAGAACTGAAAACCCTGCTATAGAAAGACGTTCTCACCAAGATTTAAAATATGCACTTTTCACCCTACTGAGTGTCCCTGCAGGAAGGAAGATGCACAAGCATAAGTGCAGGCTAATTACCAGAAACCAAAACAGACTACGCACAGAGTAACCGAACTAACCAGTCTAGTTTCACTCTAGGAGTTGAACAGAGCAAAAAAGTAAGCAAATAAGTCTCCAAAAGGATTTTTAGCCCTCTCTCCACCAACACACACACGCACACACACACAGTCTCTCTCACCTTAATCAAAGTTGACCCAAGTGATTCTTTTTAATATTCCATTTTTATAAGGACATTCTCTTTAATTGGAATTAACTTCAGCTGAAGTCCTTCCAACCCTACCCACTCCCACGTCCAGCTGCCGATTGCCAATGTAATTTCCTT